CCCAGCCAGCATGGGAAGGGCTATGTTTTGACTCCTTTGCAGAAAATCAGGGGAATGGGGGCCAGCCTCACCTCTGGGGGGAGGAATATCCCACAGGGTGGGAGCCACAGCAGAAAAGGCTCTCTACTTGGACCCCGCCAGCTGGAGCTCTTTAACTGACAGGGTCTGCAACACACCTTTCCTCACTGACCAGGTGGGATGGGCTGATGTAATGGGGTGAAGCTAGTTCCATAGGCAATTAGGCCCCAGGCCACGTAAAGCTTTAACGGTCACAACCGACATCTTGAATCGGACCCAGAAGCAAAACTGGCACCCAATGTCAATTTCATACCGTTTCATAGAGTCCTCGACTTACGACCACTTCTTTACTGACATTCGAAGTTATAACGGCACTGAGGAAAGCGACTTAGGGCCGTTTTTCACCCTTACGGCCGTCGCAGCGTCCCGGGGGTCACGTGATCCCCTTTGGCAACCTTCAGGGGAAGCCGGATTCACTTCACAGCCGTGTTACTGACTTAAACTGGGCCAGCGATTCGCTTAACGACTGTGGCAAGCAAGATCATAAAATGGGACCAAGCTCACTTAACAACGATCTCGCGTAGCAGCAGAAATTGTGGTCGTAAGCCGAGGACCACCTGTTAATCGTCTTCACTGTCTTTCCTGAACCCTGTGGGGCCTTCTCTTTACCTCATACATTCCCGACAAGGGAGGTGCTTTTTTGGAAAGCGGGTTCTGCTCCCACCGTTCTTCCTCCTCTTCCTCCTCCTCCTCCTCCTCCTCCTCCTCTTCTAAGATGCCCTCGCTGTTGTCGCTATGGGTTGCTTCCTCACAGCTCAGGCTCCTCAGAAAGCCTCGCCTGTCGTCAAACTCGGTGGTGCTGCTCTCGCTGGTATCGCTGCAAACACTGTTCTCCCGGCTCCGAGACTTCAAAATTGATTTACGAGGGACATATTCTCCATTCACAACATCAACAAAGACTCTGCAGAGGACAAATGTTAGCTTTAATAAAGTATTTGGAAGAAGCGAGGAGAGAAGCGTGGTGACAAATTCAGCGTAATTTCACTCCATCTTTGGGACAAATTAATTACATTACGGCTTTACCTGCTCCTCCTTCACACCTCCTTTATCCTTTTTTTAAAAAAGATACCCAAGATCGGTGGGTCCTACTCGGCAAAACCCGGCGTTGTTTTGCCTCTTCTCAATCACTGCTCATCCCTTTCCTTTGAAAGTAAACGTCCCTGTTTGACGGGATTTAACAAAACATGCAAGTCATCTCCCTTTTTTAAAAAAATAAATAAATAAGCAGAACGTGCTTTTAATCTCTGATGATAAAGTTGATCCTCAAATGTGAAGCCTGGAAGTTTACTCTTTTTAATCATTTTTGAGGGGAAAAAAGTGTGAAAAAGTAGCAAGGTTCAGATGGATTCTGAAGGCTTGGGGAAAAGTTAAGATTTGGGTCATTAATCCGGGGTTAAGTGCCATGCTTGTCTGAGTGTGGTTTGTGATATAGGGTGCCTGTTTGGCAATTGACAAAGTGCAGGCAGTCCACGAACAGCAGTTTGTTTAGTGACCATTCAAAGTTACAACAGCACTGAAAAAAAGTGACTTATGAGCGTTTTTCACACTTACGACTGCTGCAGCACCTCCACAGTTACATGATCAAGATTCAGATGCTTGGAAACTGATTCATATTTATGACGGTTGCAGAGTCCCGGGGTCATGTCGTCATCTCTGGTGACCTTCTGGCAAGCAAAATCAATGGGGAAGCAAGATTCCCTTAACAACCACATGGATTCACTTAACAACTGTGGCAAGCAATATCGTAAAATGGGGGAAAGTTCACTTAACAACTGTCTCACTTAGCAACAGAAATGTTGGGCTCACTGTAGTCGTAAATCAAGGACTACCAGTCCATGTATGGCCTCTCTGACAGAACACATGTAAGCCTTCAATGCCAAAGATGTACACTATCACACGTGTCATATATTACCATGCCATATGTGTCAAAGGGCACCTCTCTGGACACCACAACTCTTAACACAAGGGCAAGGTCAGGCTTCACGCCAAAAATTGGCGGTAAACATCACCTCCGAAAAACTGAACCACTTATTTAGGAATTGGCCTACTCAGCCTGAAGACTAACTCAAGGGTCTACAAACTTAGCAACTTTAAGACCTGTGGACTTCAACTCCCAGAATTCCTCAACCAGCCATGCTGGCTGAGGAATTCTGGGAGTTGAAGTCCACAAGTCTTAGAAGTGCCAAGTTTGAAGACCCCTGCTCTACCTTGACTTGGCTAGAACAGATATCAGAGAGAAAAAATGAAGCCATAAAAGTAAATGATTTGTCCTCTGCATATACATTAAGTCAACACCGTTATGCTTTAAACTTGATAATTTACACTCTGTGGTTCCTAGTTCAACTCTAATCATTCTCCTCCCTTCTGAGTTAAAGGATAGTTGCTGGTTTGCAAGTGACCCTAGACAACCAGTCATGTTTACATAAGTTATGTCTAGCCTGGGATTTTGCTGGGTATCATTTCACCAGATTCAGCCCTTACAGATGCTAGGACAGACATATGCATGTGAGAATGGAACATTGAACCCGACTGATTCCATGTTATATTTCAAACTAGCTTTCTGCCCCCATGTAGATTATCCATAAAATAATGATTATCTCCAGCTGTCTTAATCACTGACCATTTGAGAAACTATTCTTTAAAATGCTGCAGAAAATGTTACGAACACTGATTTCCTAATTTGAAAACTGAAATCCACTTTTGGATAGTTTGCTAAGACTAAGCAAATTTCCCTTTCAGCGATGAATCTTTGAACAATCAAAAGTCCAATTTAGTTATAAGTTGTAAAACGTTTATGAGTTTAGTTATAATTAGTTATAGAACTATGAAAACCTACAGAACAGGCGTCAGGGTTTGGTTACGTTCACAATAATTGAGAATATAAAAGCAAAATCTAGCAGTTGCAGATCTGAGAGTGAAGTCAGTACAAGGTCATTCAAACAAAAGTTCACCAAAGGTAAAAACGATTTAAAAGCTTGTGATGTTCTATCAACAACTTTTCCAGGAGTAAAAAAATATTGAGAAATCATACTGACGACCCACAATCTCTGTATGATTTTAACATTCTAATATCCTGACTATCCCTTGCTTTAACTTCCAAACTCAGTGGCTGAGTTTCTCTTAATAATTTGCATTTTAAAATAGGAAAGCAATACCTGTTCAATGCCTCCAAACTGACAGACAAATAGCATGAACCAGGGTTTAATTGTCTTCCTAAGTCTCTTTATGTCATTTTATAGGATCATTTATAGAATAAATAACTAGGAAGTGTGAAAACCACAAAACAGATGTGCCTAAAAGATGTAAAGGTGCAGCAAGACACCAGTCAGTCCTCAATTTATGACCCACAATTAGGGTTAGAATTTCTGTTGCTAAGCAAGGCATTTACGTACTACGCCTGATTTTATGATTTTTTTTTTTGCCCCAGTAGTTAAACAAAACATCACAGCAGTTAAATGACTCAGGTGATCATTAAACAAATCTTGCTTTCCCACTGACTGTTTGTCAGAGGTCAGTTGGGAAGGTTGCAAATGGTGATCACATGACCCTGGGATGTTGCAACCATTATAAATACAGGCTGGTTGTTGTTGTTAGTTGCGAAGTCGTGTCCGACCCATCGCGACCCCATGGACAACGTTCCTCCAGGCCTTCCTGTCCTCTACCATCTTCTGGAGTCCATTTAAGTTCACGCCTACTGCTTCAGTGACTCCATTCAGCCATCTCATTCTCTGTCATCCCCTTCTTCTCTTGCCCTCAATCTTTCCCAGCATTAGGCTCTTCTCCAGTGAGTCCTTCCTTCTCATTAAGTGGCCAAAGTACTTGAGTTTCAACTTCAGGATCTGGCCTTCTAAAGAGCAGTCAGGGCTGACCGGTTTGATCGTCTTGCAGTCCAGGGGACTCGCAGGAGTCTTCTCCAGCACCATAGTTCAAAGGCCTCAATTCTTTCTCATGGTCCAACTTTCACAGCCATACATTGCAACTGGGAAAACCATGGCCTTGACTGTACGTACTTTTGTTGGAAGGGTGATGTCTCTGCTTTTTAGTATGCTGTCTAGATTTGCCATAGCTTTCCTCCCCAGGAGCAAGTGTCTTTTAATTTCTTGGCTGCAGTCCCCATCTGTGGTGATCTTGGAACCCAGGAAGATAAAATCTGTCACAGGCTGGTTGGAACCATCAAATTCTGATCACATGATTGTGGGGATATGGGGATGCTGCAATGGTTATAAGGACCAGTGATCACATTTTTTTTCAGTTTGAAGTTATAACCTCCAATAGTCGCTAAACAAATGATTATAAACCAAGGACTTCCTGTAGACATATTATTTCAACGCAATTAAGATTAGCTGCAAAAGCACACACATACACCCTTTGCAGGAAGTTAGCAGTCACAACGTTCCGATAAATAAATACCGATAAATGTCTGCCGGCGTTTTAATGTTTGGCAATTCTGTCGTCCCGTGTCCATTTCCGTTGCTGTTCTTCCGTTTCCGTTTTGCTTCTTCTTTCTTTTCACTAAATTTTAAAGTGGTATTTTTTCCTGTGTTTATTCGTACCTGATGTCAAAACACACAGTAGTTGTGAGTGTTCAGGAAGGGAATGGGGCAAAAACAAAATCTTATTCTCCTGCCAGACAAAAAAAACATAAATCAAAAGAAGCACAATATTAAACGTTGCTTGGTTCATACCAAGCCAATGTTGGAATAAACATGGTTTAGTGAACACACAAAGGGTTGTGTTCATGTGACCCACTTAAGTCATACCAACATAGTCTAAAGAAAAGAAGAAATAGGGGGGGACATGATAGCAGTATTCCAGTATTTGAGGGGCTGCCACAAAGAAGAGGGGTCACGTTATTTTCCAAAGCACCTGAAGGCAGGACAAGAAACAATGGCTGGAAACTGATCAAAGAGAGAAGCAACCTGCAATTAAGGAGAAACTTCCTGACAGTGAGGACAAATAACCAGTGGAACAGCTTGCCTCCAGAAATCATGGGCGTTCCGTCACTGGAGATTTTTAAGAAGAGGCTAGACAGTCACTTGTCTGAGATGGTATAGGTTCTCCTGCTTGAGCAGGGGGCTGGACTAGAAGACCTCCAAGGTCCCTTCCAGCCGATATGATATGATATGATATGATATGATATGATATGATATGATATGATATGATATGATATGATATGATATGATATGATATACTCTACCACACCACAATTTTGGTTCTGTGTGATATGTCACTATATCTGTGAAGTTGTATAGTGTTTTCTTTTATACAATCCTTCCTTTAACCAAGCTATAAGAAGCTAGAGAATTTTGCTTTCATTTCTAAAAAGCTATGGTTTGTAGTCTGTTGTTATGTCCAAACCTGCAATTATAGTTGTCTTAAAGATATAAGCCAGCATTAGCAGGTAAGGTCGGAGGGTTAGGGTTATTCTCTTAATTAAGAGTGAACACAATTTGTCCAGGAGATGTGTACCACTAAACTACAATGAGTTGAAAATGGAAAGAAAAGCCAATTATGATCTCCTTGTATGTCAAAGAAAGTAAGTTCCTGAATCCAACTCTTATGCACCATATATAGCGTTAAACCACAGTTCAGCGTTGTATTCGCAACCAATGTAGTATATATGATTTATAGGATGGTGTGAATCTAACTAATTATGGCCAGGTCAGTAAACTACAGTTCTTTTAAAAATGGCTTAGTTCAGGAGTTCTCAAAGTTTGCAAAAACACCACCCGCTAAAAAGATAAATGAATTTCTGGGAACTTCCTCATGAATAAAACTAATGAGTTCAACGGGGTTACAGCTGGGCAAGAAATAAATACATCACTTACTAAAAGATATGCAACTTCCATCATACTTTCTTGACAGGCTTACTTTTCTCAGCGCTACAGATAGATTGGTCATGTTTAGTTTTTCTCTTACCGCTCAATAAAAATGTCTCCATTTGGAAAGGCTAAAACTGAAAACAACCAATCAACATTCCAAGCTTGGCTAACATATACACTCCTATAGCTACTCTGATGTTGACGGATGTATTACTACACACCACACCAGCGATCTGCAGTCAGAAGGAAAGCATCAAGCAACCACAAGACTCCATTATAGCTTCCCCAAACTGGTAGTATAACTCCAGATATACCAGAGCAGCAAGTTCAAGAGTTCTCAGTTTGTATGGTCAAAGGTCTGGAATTCTTGGAGTTCCAGGTCCAACACATCTGGAAGACTCTGAGCTATGGAAGGCTGCTTCACAACACATCTTCTTAATAATACGAACAATTTCCATGTGTTCCGTGTGTTGGACCTGGAGCTCCAAGAATTTGGAACTGAGAATTCTTGGAGTTCCAGGTCCAACACATCTGGAAGACTCTGAGCTATGGAAGGCTACTTCACAACACATCTTCTTGATAATGCGAACATTTTCCATATGTTCCATGTGTTGGACCTGGAGCTCCAAGAATTTGGAACTGAGAATTTTTGGAGTTCCAGGATCCAACACATCTGGAAGATTCCGAGCTACGGAAGGCTACTTCACAACACATCTTCTTGATAATACAAAGGTTCCATGTGTTGGACTTGGAGCTCCAAGAATTTGATCAATCAAACTGAGAATTCTTGAAGGTCCAGATTCACCACATCTGAAAGACACTGAGCTAGGGAAGACTGCTTCACAAGTCTCCTTGACAATACAAACCCTTTTAGGTTCCACAGTGTGGGAGAAATATATTGTTGGCACAACATTCTCACTAATGGCGAAATCATCTTCATCGTCACTGCAGTAGTGATTGGGGCCATTAAGCTGACTTCTGAATGATTCAAAGTTGGTTACGTCCTTCTGAACGTTGCCCTGAGTATGAGGTTTTTCTTCCCTCTGAAGAACATCCGGGTTTAACTTGTTGTCTTCTCTCTCTTCTTCAGAAGAAGAGGCGCCTTCTGACTTTGCATTACTAGTCTCGGAAATCCTGGGGAAAGAATGAGCAGCGTGAGAAAAATAAAGGGAAGATTGATTTTAAGTCCTGAGATAAATAGGTGACCATAAGTATGTCTTGCTCTGTTTTTAAGCTGTGGGGGTTTTTTTTTGTTTTTTGTTTTGCCAAACCATAATTAAATCAGACTAATGATTTTAGACTATTTAAGGTCCTCCAGCACCATAAGAAAAGTGGTCCCAAAGGAGCTTTTCAAAAGGCAACAGGACTTTCTTAGCTTTTTTTTCTTTGAAAACGTTTCGCTTCTTATTCAAGAAGCTTCTTCAATTCAGTTCAATTCAAGAAAGCCCAGGTGCCTTTTGAAAAGCATCTTTCACACAACCAGGACCTGATGATTGAGAATCTCCATAGACATAAGAAAGGTCCTATATTGCTATATCAGGCCAGTGTCCAACAATTTCCTCCAATGGCAGGACTGGGACATTCAAAAAATCCTACAGTGATAGCCTTCTCCTGTTGCCATTCATTAGAAGCTGAGATGCCTTCTAAATTGGCAGGTTACTTATAAACATCATAACCAACCACCACTGCCTTCATTCTTTCTCCCAAGACAGTAATTCCTGAGATATTTTGGGAAAACTGGCAGAGCTTTGCAGAACTACAAATCCCTAGGAAGAACAAATCGTTTAAGTCGAGAATGATGTGCTTTAAGTGTCGACTGTGTCACTCCTTGATACAAGGTTCAAATTGCCAATAGTCCCAACAAGTAGTGGGGAGAATGTGTATTTACTCATGTAGTATGACCGTAGGATTATTATTTATCCTTATTATTATCTTCTTTCATCCCCCCCTCTTACTGGTATTAAGATTTAATTTTCAATTCGATTCACAGTCTGGGAATGGTAAAAATGTAACAATTCAAGTCCTAATCAAGAATCTAAGCTGCTGCTGCTGCTGCTGTTATTATTATTATTGTTAATCTTCGGTTCGATTCACAGTCTGGGACTGGTAAAAACTTAACAGTTCAAGTCCTAACCAAGGACCTAAGAGCTGTTAAGGTAGTGTCTGAGTATATAAGCAGTTCCAAGTAAGGTGTTTTTTTGCAAAGTCAGAATATTCAGGTCTGCGCACAGTCACCCATGCCCTCGTCACCTCCCGCCTGGACTACTGTAATGCTCTCTACATGGGGCTCCCCTTGAGGAGCACCCGGAGGCTTCAACTGGTCCAGAATGCGGCCGCGCGGGCGGTGTTGGGAGGGACCCGTCGCTCCCATGTAACACCGCTGCTGCGCGAGCTGCACTGGCTGCCGGTAGCCTTCCGGGTGCGCTTCAAGGTGTTGGTCATCATCTTCAAAGCGCTCCATGGCATCGGACCTGGATATCTCCGAGACCGCCTTCTGCCGCAGATTACCAGGGTAGCCGGCCATGCGAGGGTGTCTCACCCAGAGGAGTCCCACGGCAGTCGGTCTGTCACGGCCGACCGCTGGAGGTCCCCCTCCCGGAACTCGGTGGGAGCTCCCACCCTCTGGAACGAACTACCCCCAGAGATCCGGGTGATCCCGGATCTCCCCTCCTTCCGCCGCGCCCTAAAGACATGGCTCTTCCAACAAGTGGGATTGGCCTAGGGAATTTTTAGTGGGGTTTTAAGAGAAATTTTAATTATATAGGCCATAGTAAATATTTCTTTTTAATTTGGTTTTAAATTGGGTATTTATTGTTGTATCTGTTTTATAAGGCTGTCAGCCGCCCTGAGTCCGTAAGGAGAAGGGCGGGATAAAAATTGAATAAATAAATAAATAAATAAATAATAAAATTTCCATGTATCTAGGCAACCTATTACTATTACTATTGGTACAAGCATTGATTTCTTCCTCCACAATTGCTCAACTTCAATTTGCAGATCGCGGTATTTCGTTATTTTTTTCTAGTTGTTTCTCTTCAATTCACGCATCACCTGGTATTGCAATTCCAATGAACCAGATTTTTAATTATGATGATGATGATGATTATCATTATACTGTTGCTTTGAATGTACACTGAGAACCTCTGCACCGGAGACAAATTCCTTGTGTGTCTAATCAAATTTGGCCAAATAAAGCATTCAATTGGATCCGATTCAATTCAAGCACATAAAGAAGAAGCTAACCAAGCCTCCAATTTTATTTCTTTCTCTAAGGGCTCCCATTCACAGCGCAGCTTCTATCCTAAATATTCTCCCTTTTTCTGAAAACTCCAACGGTCCATGCTTAAAATAATACCTGTTGAGTTCACCGAGGATTTGCTCTTGACTTTCCAGTTCATCAAGTCGGGCCCAGAGGTCCTCTTCTGATTTTAAGTCCCCATTGGGCTTTTTATCAGTTCCACTCTCATCAAGATTCACCTCAAAAGCAGGGGTTTTTGGTTTTGAATGAGGTTTGTGAGCAGTTCTGCACTTTCCTGAAGAATTAAATAAGTGTTTTGTTGTGATGTTTGCTTTGGTAAACATAATTACCAGACAATTCAAAGGTTTTATTAAAGCTTTCATGTTGTTCTGCCAGTAAACCAGAGCTACAATAGCAAACAAATAGAGGGTTGCCATTATTCAAATATGAAACCCTGTATTATGTTCAAAGAACGGTAACTTGAGACAATGGGGAGGGGATTCAGCGCAATCCATTATTAATCATAAGACGCTGCCTTATCCTGGATGAAGCAAAAGAGAGCAGTTAAGTCTAGAGGTTAAGTCATCAGATTAGAAACCAGGAGACGGTGAATTCTAGTCCCTCCTTAGCCATGAAAGCCAGTTGGGTGACTTTGGGCCAATCACCAGGAGACTTTGAGTTCTAGTGTTGCCTTAGACATGAAAGCCAACTGGTGATCTTGGGCCAGTCACTCTCTCTTAACCCAACTCACCTCACAGGGTTTTTATTGTGGGAGAAATAGGAGGAGGAAGAAGTATTAGGTGTGTTGAATTATTTGTAAAAAAAAAAGTGGGATATAAATAAGTAAAAATAAAAGGCCCATCTAATCCAAGATTTAGCCACTTTTTCAAATTCCAGATAGGGGACTTTTATAGACCATCCAGATGATGGGGACCGAACTTTACTCCCTGTGAGTGCAGCGCATAGACTTTATGCCAAGGTATTGATTTAACAGCTAACCAGCTTATGTAATGTAAGATGTAATGATGGGAATGACTCAGCAGGATCTGTGTCTCTTTATGAGCCTTTGTATAACGGGAAGGCTCTGTTGATGTATTCTCTCCCTTCCGTTTCCTGCTGTAACTGCGGTTTGTTGGATCCTGCTGTATTAGCACATGTATGTATATTGTTCCTGGTGTATGATATTGTAGATAGTGTAAGATAAACCACCATTTACTATAGAACACTGTGTTTACCCCTGGGTTATCTCATGTAATAAGAATGTGCACGCTCTGACACTTTAGCAATGAACCATGATAATATCATAAAATAAATGACTCGTGGTGTTCCTTTCTCTGAAGCCATCTACAGTAGGTCTCCGCAGAATCTCACACCAGTAATCCTTGCTTAGCAACAAGGATTCATAGTTAGGCTAACAATAAAAAAAGTAACTTTGAGACCCATCCTCGCATTTATGACCTTTGAAGATCTGTAAAGCGAAGAAAAGCTGAAGTTAAGATCATAAGCACAGCCATAGTTTCATTTAGGGGCTGCTTTGCTCAGTGACCAAGTTGACAGTTACAATTCCAGTCGCTAATCAATTGACGACTGCAGTCAATTTTGAGCACCTCAAACGTGACGCGTTTTGCAAGAAAGTCCAGCAACCTTTCAGGGGAAAAAAAAAAGAACCTCATAAAAAGTTTTATTTATTTAGGATAGGCTACATGGTCACTGGTTAACTGTGTAAATATGCAAATACATGAATATATGTTCTAAGTCACTACTTTAAAGTGGCAACAGATTAGCATTATACTGAACATAAACGGAACAGAAGCATTTCCACACGCTAACTGGTATTGTAAAATTAGGATAGAGAAATAACGCTCACCTTTACTTTCAGTCTCATCGCTTTCTGCTATTTCTCTGATATCAACAATATCACCTGCTGCCTAGCAGGAAAAATATATAAATTAGTATATGACAACTTATACTTTGTGGGCAATTATTCCTAGCCAATAGCAGAACTCCAGGGACTCTTTTTAAACTGGTTTAGACATCCGGCGCACAAATTGAAAGAAACTTCAAGGACTGTTTGTAACATGATGCAAGGTGAATTGATTTATTTTGAGCTTGTATATCCTGGTTCGGTTCTTTTTAAAGGTGCAATTCTGACCCTTAAGGGGAGTGTCTCTCTGGGATGCACACCAACCTTGTCCAAAACATGTCCCCATCTTCTGGCCCTTGTGCCTAACAAAGCATGCTAGGGGAGAGGCGTCCCGTCGATATAATTGCACTCTCTGAACTACTTTTCTAAAATGCCCCATGGGCCCTGTGAAATATATCTTACATCACTGATTTTCTGCAAATCTTCAGTGAATTCAGCTCTGGATTCAAAATTCTTCATGACTTTGCCCAAATCATCCAGCATTTTTCTTACGCCTGAAATGGCAAAAGAGACAGCAAAATGATACAAGAGTAATCTCACACCAAAAAGTAATTTTAAGTATATTTACAGAAAAAAATGAATCCTGTTCCCTTTTTCTTCCCGCCCAAAGTTTCACAAATAGTGTTAACATTTCTCTGGTCTCTCTATAGAAGGCTAATGTCACATGGATGAGAAAAATGTCCCTGTGTAACTTATTTGGTGTCAGGACTTTTACTGGTCCTGCCGTTGCCCTGATATCTGGAAAGAGAATAATACATTTTTACTTGAGTTCACTGGATGCCGGGAGTGTTTAATGTGTACAGATAAGAATAGCAGATATAAATCAACTCTAGATTGCGAAAATAATTCCTCTTTGAAGTGTTTAAATACTGACTAGAACTTATTTTAAATTGCTATTTGATTTGTACAAAACAAACCAGAGTTCTTCTAAAAACTAGGTTAGTTTACTGTTTTCCCTAGATGCATGGAAGGACAAGGAAATAGCTTGTTGGTTGTACATGTAATACTGAACTATAGTTCAAGTAATATGTGAGGTAGCTCTGTGTGCAAATCTATTTTCAAATTGGTAAAATGAAGCAACAATTTTTTTCCCCCTCAATATAGGCCTTGCAAGTGAATTCTAGATGATTCGTGATATCAGAAATCTGTAAAGCCATATCATAACATAGTACATAAAATGTTGTTCTTTAGCAATGTGACTATAAAAAAATAAATCACTTAGCCATCAAGTACACTAATGATAGTTCCATAACATTCTGTTTCCTGATAAGATGGATTCCTACCTTACATATTTATTCCACTAAAAGATGGTTCCTGGCCCTTATTCACAAGTATACTATCTTAAGAGTGCTAAGAATATTCACCACGATTCTAATTAATTAAACTTGTTAGGTACAACAGACTCAAGTTCCATTTATTTCAATGAAGCTGAATTTGG